CTGGGCCTGTTCAGCCTGGAGAAGAGAAGATTGAGAGGGGATCTCATCAACGTGTACAAGTATCTGAAGGGGGGATGTTGAGAGGATGAGGCCAGTCTCTTCTCCGTGGTGCCCAGCAACAGGACAAGAGGCGATGGGCAGAAACTGAACCACAGGAAGTTCCATCTGAACCTGAGGAAAAACTTCTTCACTGTGAGGGTGACAGAGCACTGGCACAGGCTGCCCAGAGAGGTAGTGGAGTCTCCTTCGCTGGAGATATTCAAAAGCCGTCTGGATGTGATCTTGGGCAGTGTGCTCTAGGTGACCCTGGTAGAGCAGGGGATTTGGACTGGATGATCTGCAGAGGTCCCTTCCCACTTTGACCATTCTATGATCTGTAAGATATTCTTGAAGTCTTATGTCTACTTTGTAACTCTTCTAGTCATTGTCTGTTCAAATATTCAGGTGTCAAAAGTTAGCTTTGTAGGCCAGATCTCTGTATGCAGATATGAACGAAAGCTTGTGGATTTCATCAGACAGACCTGGGACAAAGTCTTTATTCATTCCCCTCCCTTCTACCATCCCTGCTACAATTCAAGAACAGTATGATAAGGAGAGGCGGATGCTAATGCTATACCTTTATGCCAGGCAAAAGAAATGTGGTTCTACTATTGCTACTGCTGTTAGACAGTAAAGATCATCTGAGGTCCCTTCCAACCTCAGCTATTCTGTGATTCTGTGAAAATTCTTAAGGATTCTGTTTGTGTGTTTCCTGTCAAATGGCTGTCTTTTCTTACCTAGAATCTTAACTTGTTTCTGGCTGACTTATCTGCTCTTGGACATATGCTGTCTTACATCTTTTATCCGTGAATATGGAGATGTGTTTATGTATGATTGAATTGTTTTGGTTAGATGAGTTGCTGAGGTATGAGCCCTCATGACTGTGCGCTTCTCAGATAAGGGCCAGCCTGTTCTAGCTGTTAACCTGCTGTCTCAAGCTTTCACCCTAGTTCTGCTTTTCTTCCTAGAGGCTCGTTTCAAGCTAGATGAAGTGAAAGTGTACATGCTAGATGTGGTGAGAACTTTTTATGGACCACTGTTACAGTCGAACTATTCAGTTCTTCAGTTTATCTCTGTCTAGCTGCAATGGCTTATGCTCAAGTTTCCGGTATTGAGGCACTTCATTTGGACAGGTGGGTAGGGAAACCACGCTTGTCACATTCTTCCAGAGGAGGGAGAACTGGACGCATGAGTATTGAAGTAGAAGTATTTCTACCTCAGCAACGCATCTGCCACGTTTGTCTTTCCTGGCTCACATTGATGAGAAGGAAACTCTGATCCAAGCTTTTTAGACAACCATCTTGGGAAGCAGGGATCCAGATATCTGGAGATCTGTGTGTGTATGTGTATGGCAGGAGGAAGAATTGAGTAACACAATAAAATTATACATGTGGATATTTTAATTAGGAGTTAGCTGTATTTCCTTTGTGTGGCGGGGAAAAAAATGTGATGAAAGGAGGCTATGCGAGAGGATAGCATAAATAAACCAGTTGTGCCGATTCTCAGCATTCTTGCTGTGGGAACAGATTCCACAGCGCTGTTGTGGAGGATAAAAGAAATTAAGAACTGCTTTGGAGTATGGAACAATTTTCTCTCCTCCTTTAAATTTTTATCAAGTGTGAAAATGTTTCTTGGCTCAGATAATATGGGCTATTACCTACACAGAATAATTAGTTTTCATCTATGGCAATGAGTGAGGGAGCTAACTTTAAGAGGCCTGATTGAGCACTCTTTCACCAGCTTTAGGCCAGCGTGATTCTGCTGACAGTAGAGCAACATCAAGATCATGAGTACAAAGAAATTAATAAACAATTAGTACAGCACTT